AATCAACATCTCATACAGGTATGTCTTATTTAAGTATTAATGATAACGATACTCTTGTTATCGAAAAAATGCCCCTCTAGACACTTCTTGTATACAAGAAAGTTTGCCTGAGGGCCGTCGCATTGTCGACATTGCTTTTATGTGGAATGAAATCCACAGAACATTTGATAATCATGCGCAAGAAATAGAGTGCCAGTTTAGAGATTGGAAACTCATAAATTCTCGTCGCAATGGATTAATGACACAGTTGTTTTTCCAATGTCAAATGTGCAATTATAAAGCCAGTATCTGGTCAGAACCCACAGAACCAGAAACATTGGACATTAATACAGCTGTTGTAGCAGGAACTGTTACAACGGTAATTGGTTATGCGCAGCTCGAAGAGCTATGTGCAGCCATAAATGTTCATTGTATGTCTGAGCCTACTTATATCAAATACAGGGAGAATTTAGTTGATGATTTCAACCAAACAGCCATGAAAAATATGAAAATGGCTGGCGAAGTTGAAAAGCAACTCGCTCTCGAGAGAAACAATGTTATAAATGGCATTCCATACATAACCGTTGTAGCAGATGGTAGTTGGATGAAGAGATCGTATGGCAATGCTTACAATTCTCTTTCGGGTATTGGAGCCATAATTGGTTACCATACAAGAAAGATTCTCTTTGTCGGTGTCCGTAATAAATTTTGCGCAGTATGTGATATAGCAGAGCGAAATGGTGTCAAATCAAAAGCTCATAAATGCTATAAAAATTTTAATCAGAACACAAGCTCCACAAGCATGGAGAGCGATATCATCGTAGAAGGTTTTAAATGTAGCCTCGAAATGCATGGACTGATTTATAAAACGGTTATTGCCGATGGTGACAGTAGCGTGTATCAGTCCATTCTTGATAACAGACCATACTGTGAACAAAAGGTGACAGTAAAAAAAATAGAATGCAAGAATCACTTGCTTCGCAATCTGTGCAAAAAGCTGAAAGCTGTAGCAGAGACGACTCAGCCAAAAACAAATAGACAGCGTGGCTTTGTAGAGTTGCGAAATGTTGTGAAAAACAACATTTTAAATATTCGAAAAGAAATAGAAAAGGTAGCCGCTCTGCAAAGAGAAAAAGAACAAACACCTCAACATTGTAAGGCTATGGAATTACGAAATGATATATTGAACATTCCTAGCCATGTTTTTGGCCAACATAAGCGATGCGAAGCACGCAGTCGTATGTGCAAAGAAAATGGTAATGAAACGAAAAGAAATTATGTACTGTAAGCGCCTATTAGAAATTGCGCTTATTTAGGTTAAGTCGCGCCTAGATGGCAGTTTAGTCTTAGGGTGCGGTCGAGTTACTGCTACAAATGCTTTGAAGCGTTTCGACTGCGGTCAATTTAGCACTTCGAAACATTTCAATGATATAAATGACGTCACTGAAACGTCATAAATATTCTCTACCATTCCGCTTCCAATGCTGCAGCCGGAGAGGTAGTACGGCTGAAGCGTTTTTTGAATTTTCGTAAATTGCGGGAAATTGTGTCGACTGTCGACTGAACAACATACATGTGTAACGTGGTTCTACGTGCTCATCTGAAGATTCTGTGTATAATAAAAAACATTGAGCTACATTATTGTTAAAAATGCCAAATATTACGCTATTTGATGAAAGAAATCAAAGTATATGTTCAACATAATTTTTAATATTCTTAATACGGTTTTCATTTGTGATATTTTGAGAGGTTATTATTATGTCAATTTCTTCATTATCACAAAGATAAGAATATATATCTAAATAATTCTTTACAATACATATTGCAGCTATATCTTTATTCATTTTTAAAAATTTTAAACTTCGTTATGTTTTATATGTTAATTTATATTTTTTTTTTAATTTTACACTTCAAACGCTTCAGACACTTTCAGACCGGTCAATTTTACCAACGTTGAGAACATCTGTAGCGCTACTTGACCATTCCATGAAAGCGTTGAAAACGAAAGCGTTCGAAGCATTCAGAAGCGGCAACTCGACCGCACCCTTAGTCTTAAAGCGCAAGTGTATTTATTTCCTGTCTCTTGTGATTGGCCGATGCCTCTGATTGGTGCACGGAAACACGTAACGTCGTCGAGGCACAGAGAAGCTTCGAGTCGCCATAGTATTAGAAGACTGTAACACGAGCTGATGGAAGAATCAGTGGCCGGCATAGCCGGTGAATAAAGACTTTTAGTTAAAAGTGAACGTATCCTATTGCTCTCCCAATCTGCTTTTCTTGACGAATCACAATCATTTCCTGACGAACTAGCTCTCATTAAACACATTGAGAGTTTTACAGTTCAGAAGTGGGATCGAGACTCAAGGATCAAGACTCAACGGTCGATATTTTAGTGACTAAGTCTTATCAAACGATACAGTTCATCATTGTCAGTGCGCGTAAATGTTACGTTCGTGATTATTACGCGTGTGTTTCCTTTAGTGGTCGCTTCACGGTCAGCATTATACCGTAAAGGTATCGCTTTTCTCCGTGGGCATTATCGCCGGTAGCCGGGACCACGTGGTAACGCCATTTTGTCTCAAAAGTAGTCTTGGCGCTGCCATTGTTTTTACGTCTGTCGCGCCTGTGACGCCATCGTGGGGACACTTAAGACATTAAGAAACTTTCTCACTAATAGTCAACACAGTGTGGTGAAGCCATTGAAGTGCGGTTTGACATACCCGCTATTCATTATGGATCGATTACAGTTAGAAAACCTATCTTACAAAGAATTGTGCGAACGAGCCATCGGTTTAGGGATCGAACCGCCGCGCACTCGTCCAAAATGCATCGACGCTATCATGCAGTATTACGAAAGAAACAAGATACAGGTTTCCGGCGATGATGAGGACGCGATCGATTTGCAGCTCTCGCAAGCCAACAAAGCTGCTGAAATTATTGGTTCTAGTGCTCGCGTGACAAATAACTCGCGATCTAGTGACGTGCCTCCATCGGACGCCGAAGAACCAAGTTTACGCTCTGTTGTTACACTGTTAGCGCAACAAATACAACAGAATCAACAACTGTTCGCTCAGTTTATGTCCATGTCTATCGCTAACGGGTCTGGCGCTCGGAATGGATTCTCCATCGGCGAGGAAGACCGTCATGGTGTTACGTCCATTCAAAACCAATCAGCCAGGAACTCGTTGCCGCCAGCACAAGCGGTACAACTTCTCGCTTCTCAGATTCCAGAATTCCGCGGATCCGAGGACGAGGAGGTCGATCTATGGATCCAGAAAATAGAGAAAGTATCAAGGATACAGTGTTTCTCAAGACGCGACCCTTTTGGCAGCATCAAGTAAACTGACAAAAGCGGCGCGCAAGTGGTACGACTTAACTGTCGGCACCGCAAATGAATCGTGGCAAGAATTCAAGACGGGAATATCCAAGCGTTTCCGGAATTCTATACCATTCCATATCCAGATGCAACGAGTGGAATTAAGAAAATGGAACCCGGCCAAAGAAACTTTCGCCGATTATGCAAACGACAAGCTCGCCTTGTTGCACCGCCTTAAGCTTAAACAAGATGAGATTTTGCTTCTCATAGATGGAATACCCAAAACGGGCCTTCGCCATCTAGCAGCTGCCTTAAAAATCGATTCAGAATGACTTTCTACAAGAAATGAATCGTATTACAACAGCGGGAAGAGATTTACATCAGAAGCCCCATTCTCCAGTAAAGAGATCAGATAAATCCAAGGGATTGCACAGCTCAGCATCTGATTCAGGTTTGCCAAAAAAAGTTAAAGACATTTTCTGCGTCTATTGCAAGAAGAAGAGC